ACTTCTGGCTTTTTTCTTTTTGCTTATGTGGTGCTGAGGAATTGAACCCAGGGCCTCATGCATGCAAGGCAAGCGCTCTACCACTGAGCCACCTTCACAGCCCTTGGATATAATTTTATTAAAAAAAAAGAAAATAAAAAGAAAAGCATCTTAGCTACATTCAATACAACCTGTGTTATGAGCCTATCAATCATTTCAATTTGTTGTATTTGTACTCTTTGATAACTATTAATCTAGGAGTAGTCCAGACAAAGGTTTCTGTATTATCAGAAGTTGTAGCCTATTTCCTGCTTCCTTAAGGAACTACCTACTCTAGCCTTGATTACAGCTTTGAGATGGGAAGATTCATTATCATATTAAGTTTTCCCTCTGAAAGTTAAGTTGTGAACCTATCAGTCATTTCAGGTTGTTCTAATTTTGAAAGACAATGGTAAAGGATGGAAGGCAGATTCTTAATGAGTGTTCCCTTCTCTTTTCCAGATTTGCTGACTTCATAGAAGGCTCTTTCCATCTAACACCAAATGAAGTTTCTGTCCACGAGCAGGAGTATGGATTAGGGAGCATTATTGCCCAGGATGATGAACTGTCCTCTGAGGAAGAGGAGAAGGAGGAGGAGGACTCAGGCTCTCCATGCACTGCTGTCACACAGAACAACTTCCAATCTTAGGTGGTGCTCAGTTATTTTCATATAGACTGGCTTGGTGCCCCAGTGGTCCATGTTACAAGTGCCATGCAATTCTTCCATGCCTTTCTAGCAGACTGAAGATGGTGCAGAAATTCTCCTATTGAAATGAGAGGCCTGAGTAGTTCTCCCTCTGGGAGTGGTCTTTGTGGTCTCCATGGGATCCTTGAAGGAGAGTGGATAAAGTAGTGAGTGCTTTGGCAGTTTGCTTCCTACTGATTAAGGCTATCAGCCCACTTTTCTGTTCCTAAAGAAATTGGATGGCCACAGCCAGCATGACATTCTAGTCTTTGAAAGTTGATTCAATCACGGCATTTCTTTCACTGTGCCTGGCCCTCTGGAGTGAGAATTGTAGTGCAATAATGCTTTCAGACCATCAGCTGCATCTGTCAGACATTCTCTCATCTGAGCTCCCGTCACTTCCACTGAAACAAGTGACTGTAGAATGCTCCCCGATTTAATTATTTTGACAGGAAATGGATTTTTGTCTGCCTTGTTTTTTAAATATATGAAATATATTTAAATATATTTTTGAAGTGTAACAAACTCATGTTCCAAAACCAGCAAGTGGTCCTGAGTGATAAACCCTGTTGGCCACTAGGTATTTATTAATATGGATCCATTAAAGCCCCAGGAGCTGTTGTGTTGAACTTTTAATTCATTTTCACGTATGATTTTCTGAGTCCTGCTTGATTTTAGAAACATGCTTCCAGCCTCATACTTGTAGGTCAACTCTTGGACTTTTTATTATATTCAACATTTAATTTTAAGAAACATATTTTCCTCTTCCCATTCCTTGCCACTGTTTTCTCCTTCAGGAAGGGTCTATTCCCTCACCTGTGGAATGTTCACATAATCCACAGCATCTCTCTTTCTGTGTCCTGTCTCTCTCTCTCTCTCTCTCTCTTTCTTGCTTTCATTCTCCAGAACAGGGCAGCTGTTCTGTGTAGCCCAAGATAGCTTCAAATCAAGATCCTCTTGGTTCACCCTCCCTAGTACTGTGATTACAGCCACGGGCCATTGTGATAGTTCTTTGTCTCATTTCTTACCTTCCTTCTCATTAGTTTTTAGTATTATTCCTGGTCACTAGGAGAAATGATCTTGTATACCCTAATTTTTTTTCTGTTACCAGGTCACATCTTTGAGTTGCTATGGATTCAAGAAACTATTTCCTTTCCCTTTGTATTCTCATTCCAGTCATTCCTTTTTACCTTCCCTTACCACTTATGTTTTCCCATGTCTAGCTTATTTTTAAGCCCTGAAACTGCCTATGAAGTTTCTCTTTTCTCCTCTTATCTGAAATGGTCTCATGTGGTTCAGGCTGGTCTTGAATTTAAGATCCCCTCTGTCTCAGTTTCCCTAGTGCTGTGATTACAGGCATATACTACCACACCTGGCTTGAAGTTTCTTTGTTATGCTTTTTTCTTTTTTGGTACTGGGGATTGAATGAAGTTTCTTGATATACATTTTGTGCTAGATAGTTTTCACCATTTGCATTGCTGACAAAATAGCCCTCTGGGTTATCTTCATGCGTCTGAATGCTCATTCAACCATCAGAATCAAACACATTTTTCCCTTAATTTACTATACTTACTTGCAGTTCTACTTCTGACCAGAGATTCATGCTTCCTTTTAGTAAATAACATTAGTTTCAGAATCTTCTGTCATTGGAAAGAACTCTTATAAGCAGCAATGTCATTTATGAAGGAGTAAATTCTGTAGGACCTGCCATTTGCTAGGTTCTTTCTTTGTGATCTTCACCCTCATACCTTTAGCCAGGAAGGTGGACACTTGAAGGCACGTGTATAGTGTCAGATTTGCTGTCTTGTAAGAAGGAAGATGGTGGACTGGAAAGGTGGTCCGGTGGTAGAGTGCTTGCCTTGCATGCGTGAGGCCCTGGGTTTGATTCCTCAGCACCACGTAAGCAGAACAAGCTGGAAGTGGTGCTATGGCTCAAGTGGTAGAACGCTGGCCTTAAGCTTGAAGAGCTGAGGGACAGCACCCAGGCCCAGAGTTCAGGCCCCACGTCTACCACCACCACCACCAACAACAACAACAACAAAAAGAAGGAAGATGGTTTCTTAAAAAAAGTTGTTGTGACTCCTCCTTCAGACCAGGTCTTTGGTGTGTAGTTTTGAAAGGCCCTGGGTTCATTCCGTTGCTTACTTCCAAAATGTCAACTCTGAGATTCCTTCCATGGTCTTAGACCGTCCTAAAGTGACAACTACCTCAATTGGCAGAAAGAGATGCATATAGGAAAGTGAACAATAAGCAGTATTTGGGGAGGTGCTCTGGGTTAAAGTTACAGTACTAGGAACTTAATCTCAGGAAATCTTTATGCCTTGGTGATTTAGGTACACAACGTTTTGTCCTTCTATAAAGAAATATTAAAACCTCTGAGGGACTGGGGATGTAGCTCAGTAGTAAAATGCTTACCTAGCATGCATGAAACTCTGGGTTTAATCTTCGGCATGAACACAAAATCATTTTGAAGTACATTACCTTTTTCCTTTATAAGTGAGTATCTAGTATATTTGAGCATAAGTTGCTTTGAGTGACTAAACTGTACAAGTGGTCTCAGGATTCTCTGGAGACTTTGGTGTCCATCCCAGGTTCCTTAGAGAGGTGGCCTGCTCCAGAGTAACTTTCCCCTACATGTCACTATTTCGAGGAGAAGGTACCTCGAAATTGGAAAAGATCTCCTGTGTAGTAAACTTCTTGTAAAATACAGTTTTAATTTCAGGATCTGTCTTTTTTTTCCTGTTTAAATTTGGGTTGAATAAAATTAAATTGATTTTATGACTCCCTGTCTGATAGTTGAACTGAGTTGAGGTATTGGAGATGACAGTGGTAAGCTCTCAGACAGTGAAGGCTGGTGTCTGTTGTGCTGCATGTCCTTGCCCTGCCTGCCGGTGTGGCTCTGCCCACGTGCTTCTGTCTGTATGCCCGGAGAATTGCTTGACGGTAAACCTTCTTCAGTTGCTGCTCTCGTCTCCCTCTTGGCCACTTAGTCTGCTGGCTCAGCCACTACTTGAAGCCCCTATTTAATTTTCCCTAGCAGTTATAGCTCATGCAATTTCAGCACAGTCTCATCTCTCCTACTGATCTCATCAAGAAGGATTGAAGGGATAACTGAGGAGTAAGCTGGACATCGGAGCCACGTTTGCTGCCAGATCAGCGTCTTGCTCGGCAAATATCAGTCCATAAATTGGCTCCAGAGTTCAGGGTCTCATCAGCATTGGAAAATCTATTGCCTTAATTGGTCTGACCCAAGCTATGTAGAGCATGACCCCCATTAATGGGAATACAAAAGGCAACTGACCTAAAACGTTTTCCTTTCTCACTCAAAGAGTTTACAGGAGATCAACAGAATTAAAGCAGGTAAAACATAGCAGCTTTGATATTCTAATAAAATTCCTGTCTGCCACTGCATTGAATAGAAAACTTAATGTGTATTATGTCTGTTCAAGGATACTTTTGCTGATGATGGCTGTTTGGGTCCTACTGCCCTATTTAAGATAATGCATTCCATTCTAGGGCCCAGCACTCTTCCCTGTAGCCAATCCCCACTTGGCATGTAGGATGGAGGTTTGATGAATGAAGGGACCCAAATAGGCCAGAGTTCCCCTAGGCCCTGATATCCATTAAAAGACTTGGGAATGATAAAAAAAAATAAAAAAAAAATAAAAAAAAAAAGACTTGGGAATGGATTATGTAATTGCCCTCCTTTTCTATTTTCTTCAGGAAAAGATGGGCTTAGAAAATACCTACATAAAAATGAATCCTAGCTGTGTACCTGTACTTTTCTGAATTGAGTGGTGAAAGTTGAAGTAAAAGGAAAGGAAATTAAATGTCCCTCTAGTATTCTTTTGGACTCAGGTCTGACATATGAGATAACTTAGACTGAATTGTTAAGACTTACCCAAACCAAGGAGAGGGTAGTTGGACAGATTTATTACATCCTCACATTATATGGGCACAGAAACCAAGTAACAAATAATGAAATCGGTATCACATAGGTAAATGCACCTAAGCCATTTGCTTTGGTTTCCACACAGCAGAAATGATTATTTGTAGAGGGGTATGTCTTTACAATTAGAATAATCCTGCAGTGTATTAGTTACCTAACTAATTTAGTCAGGTTACTGCTGAATTGGTTTATAGATGGCTACTACCTTGAGAATTGTGTTTGGAAGGTGGGCATCGTAGCTTGTGTCTGTAGTTCCAGAACTGGGAGCTAAGATGGAAAAATCATTTGGGTTTGGGAGCTTGAAACCAGCCCAGGCAACAAAGCAAGACCTCATCTGAGGAAAGGGAGAGAGGAAACTATGAACAGTGATTTGGGGTGGGGGGGGTGGGGGGGGAAGGGAGAAGAGAGGAGAGACTGATTTATTTGGTGCCTCAGGAGCTAGAGCTCCTAAGGGGATAAGCAAAACAGATTCATGCCAATATAAACCTGCAGTGTTAGCAGGGACAGGAATGATCAGACTCCCAAAATGTGGACTCTCACAGCTGCCTGTTGGTGAAGTCACTTTGAACTTGCCTACAGTATGAACAGCATTCTTAGATTAACAGACAACTCAAAATGTGACTTTTAGAACTATTGCAGCCTACAGTTGCCACTATATTCCATGTTTATGGGATTAATGTTGAAATAACGGGTAAGAAATTACTGGCTAAGTTTTATCTGGTGGGCAATGCCTTTGTGTTATCTAAATAAAAGATTTGCTACTTGTATGTGAAATAAATGTTTATAAATGTTAAAAAAGAACAAAATTATCAGGGATGGTTCTTTGCCTTGGGTTCTCATTTTCTCCTACCTTTGTGTAAGAAAAAATAACCTTTTATGTATTTTTCTATTTTTATACCTTTTGTAAGCAGTCCCAATTTTAATAAAATTTTATGGAGTAAATAGTGGTTTCTTAATAGATGAACACTTGGGTGGTTTTTATGTTTTCATGGGATCAGCAATGAACTCATTTTATGCTGTCGGTTTCCCCCTCTTCCTAAGCCACTCCTCCCTCCCTATGGTGAATTGGTATTGGTCTACTTATATCCTTGGGCTGGATTTCTCTGGAGGTCAAATCTCAGAAATGTATTCCTTTCCTTTCCCTCCCTCCCTCTTTTTTCCTTCCTTCCTTCCTTCTTTTCTTTTCCTTTCCTTTCTTTTCTTTTCTTTCTTTCATCGGGGGATATCAGAGGTTGAGCCTAGGGCCTACCATAAGTACTATACCACTTGATCCATGCCCTAGCCCTGCTTTTAGATTGTTTAGGGTCTTGTCTCTGCCTCTTGAGTAGCTGAGATTACATGTGGAGGGACCACTTGGCACAGTGGGGCATTGTTGAAGGAGCTGCAGGTTTTACTACCTTGCTGTCTCAGATAAACAGAAGTATAGGATATTCCTGGTCCAGGGAGTCACTTATGCTTTATGTCTTTATTTATGGCATAATGTATCTCTTATTTCTCCAATGGGGAGAATCTTATTGAGATGTCTGCCAACAGTGTGTGTGTGTGTGTGTGTGTGTGTGAGATGTCTGCCAACAGTGTGTGTGTGTGTGTGTGAGAGAGAGATGTCTGCCAACAGTGTGTGTGTGTGTGTGTGTGTGTGTGTGTGTGTGTGTGTGTGTGTCCTGGACATTGTCCTTGAGCTTTTTTGTTCAAGGCCAGTTGCTCTACCACCTAAGCTACAGCTTTACTTCTAGATTTCTTTTTCTTTTCCTTCCTTTCCTTTTCCTTTTTGTTTTCCTTTCCTTTCTTTTGATGGTCCTTGGGCTCAAACTCTAGACCTGGGAGCTGGCCCCTGAGCTCCTTTTTGCTCAAGACTAGCACTATACCACTTGAGCCACACCTTCACTTCCAGCTTCTTGCTGATTAATTGGAGATAAGAATCTCTCAGACTTTCCTGCTCCAGCTGGCTTTGAACTGTAATCCTCAGATCTCAGCCTCCTGAGTACTAGGATTACAGATGTGAACCATTGGTACCCACTATTGTCCATGTGTGTGTGCCAGTCCTGGGCCTGTGTACTGTCTCTGAGCTGCTTTTCCTCAAGCCTAGCACTCTACCACTTGAGCCACACCTCCATTTCTGGCTTTTGGGGGGGGTTATCGGAGATAAGAGTATCATGGAGCCAGGTGCCAGTTGCTTATGCCTGTAATCCTAGCTACTCAGGAGGCTCAGATCTGAGGATCTCGATTCAAACCAGCCTGGGCAGGAAAGTCCCCATAACATTCTTTTTTTTTTTTTTTTTTGGTCGGCCGTGGGGCTTGAACTCTGGGCCTGGGCGCTGTCCCTCAGCTCTTCAGCTCAAGGCGACCGCTCTACTACTTGAGCTACAGCGCCACTTCCGATTTTCTGGTGGTTTATTGGAGATAGGAGTCTCACAGTCTCTCCTGCCCGGGCTGGCTTTGAACCGCGATCCTCAGATCTCAGCCTCCTGAGTAG